GGCACCTGTCATCCTAGCTATTCACGAGGCTGAGGCAAGAGAATTGCTCGAACCCGGTGAACCTAAGAGGCGGAGGTTACAGTGATCCAAGATCACATCACTGCACTCCAGCCCGGGCGACAGAGTGAGACTCCATCTCAAAACAAAACAAAACAAACAAAAAAACGCAAACGTTTTCACTCTGGATGCCAGCTTGAAGGCTCTTAGTCTTGTCCTTGACTTTTAGGCAGTCCTTAGCTGCCAGAGAGAGCAACATTAAAAATCATAATCAATGAAGTACCTCATTAGGCATAGTTTTTAATAATGCAGAACCCTCAATTTTTATTGAAATATTTTTGTCAAAACCCAGAAAACACTAGAAATAGAGGACCCCAGAATGCCAGAGCTGGGAGGGATCTGAGAAGTTTCTAGTCTAATCTCCTCCTTTTACAGATGAAGCCTGAGGATTTGGGGGTTGACTCTCACTGAGGCTCTGTCCTGGGTTGCCCCAGGAAGAACAGGAATGGAGGTACTTGGCACCCACACTGGTCTCTGAGATGCCATCACTCACATCTTCTCCTCATCAGCCAGGGCCTTGGACACAGCCCCAGCCTGAACTGAAACCCGGCCCTGGAACAGGAAGTGCTTGGAACCTTCCCTGCTGTTGCCGTGGTGCTCACAACCACCCAGGAAACAAAAGGCAAGCTCCCCCTGTCAAAGCACCCTGGCCCATAAGAAGAAAAGGGTGAGCACTCCCGGATGTGATGAGCACTCCCGGGCTTCAGGCTCAGAAGGTGCCCAGCCCCCGGCTCTCCTGTAACTCAGAGGCCAGTGTGATGTGAGTTCCTCCACTCAGCAAGCTCCCGCTGTGAACACGCCTGTGGTGGGCAAGAGGGCTTGAGAACGGTAAGTACGATGGGTACTTTTTGGCTACTTCAGAGACCAAGAAGGGTGTCTTAGGGACAGGTGCTGCTTAGACTTGGGTCCTTCTGGTCTACTTGGCAGGGAGGGAGTTCGGGGAATCAGGAGGGGTCTGGGAGCTGAGATACCATTGTAGGTAGCTCCTGCCCACGCACAGAGACCTCGGCACAGGCTCTCAAAACACATGAAGAGGCAGGTGGCCTGGTGGGATGAAAAAAGAACACATTTCCAGGCCATTGAGATATCCCTGGATTTGAAGATCAGCTAAAAAAGTTCTTAGATATTGATCTAAGAAAGCAGGAGCTTTGGGTCGCTGAGTGCCATCCCCAGCCTCCCTCTCTCTGTAACTGAAGCGGTGCTCCGTGGGCATAGCGAGTCCTGTGTGGGGTTTATTCTGTGCTGACCAGGTCTGCTTCAGAATGGAACCCTCTTCTCTCTTCTCAGATTCCTTTAGGCCACGTTGAGGATTC